GATCTGCAACATAACAAAGGGTCAAGAGTTATTCTGCAGCTCCTGCTGCAGACTTTAGTAGCTTGAATCAGAGCAGCTGAGGGTTTTTTCCACGTCTCTTTTAATTCCATCCTGTTCTCTGAAATCACACATGAACGCGATGAGAGAGGGTCTCTGTTGATGATTTCTGTACTGTTAGGGGGAAAATGAACATGTTGCGTGCTGTTCATCCATTTAGTGGTTCTGTGTTCTTCAAAAGAAATTTAAACTGAGAACTCTGGACTAAGATAAATCTGCTGATCACTCACAGTAATATTAACTTAATCATCGTAAATTTTTATCGATAACTATCATAAGAAGTCATTAACATTAAGATCTAACATAGTAATTAAATATTCACATTTATGTAAATTTCTCATAACTGAATCTGAGCTGTATAAGTCCTGTTTTTTATCAAACAAGTAGCTTTTTGTGTTACTCCTCTGAAGTAGCTCTCAGTCTCAAAAAGGTTGGTGACTCCTGTCCTACAACAATACTCACTATATTCTTCACCATTCGGGCTTTTGGTTTTAGAGATAAGAACAGGCATTTTATGCTGGTGCTACAACTTTTTGTTCTGTGCTACAAAATCAGCAACCTCTGTAGCACCGGTGCTATGAGCTAAAAAAGTTAAAGTACAGCCCTGCTGCCTCAGAGCTTTTTAACGACCTCAGTGACCTAAGCCCCAATTATAAAGAACCAAACCTGAAGTCCTCAGACTCCACTTCCTCCATAGAAAGACATGATGGTGTGACTGTAATTGTGGACCCTCGGGTAGTTTGTAGCGGCGGTCATGGGTCGCTGGTCCGGTTGCCTGGCCGTGCTGGGGTGGGTCCAGGGTGGGCGCGAGGGGCTTGGGACTCTGGGGGCGTGCCGCCGCTGGGCTATGGCTCTGGTGAGGCGGTGGGGTTTGGGCTCTGGTGGGCGGATTGCCGGACCCCGGGCCGGTGTGTGCCCTGGTGCCCGGCTCTGGGCTGGGGGCCTCTGGTGCACTGGTGGTCTGCGGTTCTAATGGGCTGGGGGGTAGGGTTGGCTGGGGGCATGACATGGGGCTAGTGGGGGGGGGGGGTCGACCCAGCCTGGGTGTCCTTGTGTTATATGTTCTGATAGTGGCCTGAATGTTGGGGTGGGTGTAGTATGTCTTCTGGGGTGGGGATTGGGTTGGTGGCCTTTGGTGGTAGCTGGGGGCTGTGCTGGGCTGGCTGGTTGGCCCCTTTGCTGTGGCGGGGGCCCGCCCTGGGTGCCCCCTTGCTCTGTCGGCGGTTGGGTGGGCGCTCTTGGCCAGGTCATCCTTGCTGGGGAACGGTGGCCTCTCTTGGCGGTGGGCCGGCTATGGGGCTGGGGTCGAGTTCTGGGGGTCTGGGTGGCTTTGGGGGGTGGGGTGTTGGTCCCGCTTTCTGGTGGCCTTCGGGGCTTCCGTGGGCTTTGTGGT